TCATTTAATCATTTTCTTGTATGCTTATTTTTGTCAATATTTTTCCATTGGAACCAAATATTAGTTTCTGGCTCAGCTTGCAATTAGATTGTTATAACTTCGTTTGTATTCATGAGGAAAAATCTAATAAGCAGGAATCATCATATGTCTGTGGCACAGAGAAGAACTTTAAAATAAACCACCTGGCTCAGGGTTGTGGCCAGAGAGTCTGGGATTCTAATCTATCCTGGAATCTGAGGCAGGGTAGCTCTAGTCTTTATCCTTGCCTCTAAGTACTTCTTAACTTGGGAGGAATCCTTGAATTTAGACCAATCTGTTTTGTAATTGACCGTGTATCCCCAAATCTGAATTAATTTACGTAATCTCCTAGTTCTTTTGTGGATCTTCTACCTACCTAGTTCTGTGCTAGGTATTTGGGGAAATTATGAAGCATGGTGGATTTTGATTTCAAGAAACTGTTTGGGTTCCAGGAGGTTAAGTAGAGTGGTATTGTCACACAGTGTGTGATTAATTGCCTTGCAGTAAGTGATAAGCAGCGGGTGGCCTGACCTCAGAACAGAGAAGGGCCCATACAACTGCTCAGGGAAGGCTTTAAACCTGGGTGGTAGCAGGACTTAGAACAGGGAACTAGAATTAAATTTGGTCAAAAAGAGGAGCATGACAAGCTCACCTTAAACTTGAGGAAAGAGCAAAGATCGGGGTACAAAGTTCAGGAGGAGCCCATGGGGTTCAGGCCACAGTGTGAGGCTGAGCTCGAGTTGGCCACTCAACCACTGTTGTTTATTTCCTTGTTTTCCACCTCCAAAATACCTTACCTCATTGTGACACGGTTTCCTTTCCTGCACTCCAGTCGGGATTCTCTTGGAGTTCCTCAATTTTACCTCACTCACAATGGTCACAAGTGCATTTGTCTTAAGCTGCAGGATTCACTTTGAGGCAATGGATGCTGTTGACCAGAAAGCTGTTTTTTTTCTACCTCATTTCCAAATGCTTTCTGACCTCAAAGGTTATTGAAAAGCATTGGGGAGTATATGTAAAACTGGATTTAAATTCCTACTCCACCACACCTAGTGCTGTGTGAAATTAATTAGCAACTCTCAGCTCAGTCTAATGGAAATAAGACTACCCAATTCCTAATTTGGCTGTAAAATAGCATGTAGTATAAATGACATGGTAGCCAGCCATCAAGGTTAGTCCCTGTTCACTACTGGTAACCTCTACCTTCCTTGCTGTGCCGTTTTCACGACCACACCTTTGCTCAGGTGCTCTTTCTCCCCACCTTGAAATGTTTCCACTATCACCTCAATCAGAATTGAACTTTGAATCTTGTATATTCTTAGTATTAGTCAAGTTACTAACCTCCACTGTAGCTATTTGTACACCTCTTACTTTCTCAGTCTAGATGGTAAATTCCCTAAGGGATGAGTCCATGTCAGCGATGGGTAAGAAAACCAGTGAGTGTTGTGACTATTTCTATACAGGACCTTTGCACAGTTGTTGCTCTTCCAGCATGATCTCATTATTCTTTTTTTATTTTCTCCCTTAACTACAACCATATGCTGAATCTTTCTGAATCTTTTTTTTCAAATCCTCACTGCTTACCTCCTGCTTTAGATGTTTGTAATCAGTTGTCTGCTAAATGTCTCCAGCTGACTATTCTACAAGCACTTTGAAGGCAAGTGTCCAAAATTGGTCTCTTATCTCCTTCTGCCTTCCCTCCCACCACACCATCCTCCATCCCACACACAGTCTGCCCTCTTCATGTATACTGTATCCTATTTGTGATATCACAGTCCACCACATCCCTAAAGCAGAAACTTGGAGGGCATTCGTCATTCCTTCCTTTCCCATGTGGTCTATGTTCACAGAAATGAGTCACCAAATCTTGACTCTTTGGTCTCTTAATAATTTCTTGGATTCATCCTAGCTCTTTCTATCTCAACTAGTGCTGCCTAATATTGGCTCCTCTTCTTTCAACTATTTTTACTGCAATATGTTTGTAATGAGTCTACCATACCTGCTTCTTCATCCTTTCATATCCATTCTCCACAGTCTGAATATGACAGATTCCCTCATATATAAGCCCTTTGGTAGCTTTCTTTCTTAAAAATTAGGGATGGGGAAAAAGTTTTATATCTTGAATTGTTGTTGTTAAATGCCATCAAGTGGGTTCCGATTCATCAAGACCTGAAGAGTGGCTGGTGAGTTTGAACTGTTGACTTTGTGCTTCAAAACGACCTTGTAGTCTAGTGCTTGTCCTACAGCACCACACCAGTACTCCATCTATAGAATTAGCTCTCACCAGTTTGGCCTTGGCTGCCTTTAAGTTCAACATTATCACTTAGGGATTGATTTCTCATATAGATGAAGAGAAGGGGTGGGTTGGGAAGCACAGGCAATGCTTAACTAACATCCTAGGATTAAGATCAAATTCTTTGGCTTGTAAGGTCTTCCATGATTCTGCTCCTGCTCAAATCTCCATACTCAGCCCCCACCATGGCTTCATAATTTAACCATGGAGCATCAAGAAAATATTTTGTCTTTTGCTTATGTTTGTCTGTGCTGCCTTCTCTTCTCCTTTACCTGGGAAACAGGGCTTTGGGTGTGTGAGGAGTGCATAGGGTGGGCTCCACATAAGAGTACATACTCTTTCTCTAGGTCTTGTGGTTCCTCGTGCTTCCTCCAAAGCTATACATGGCCTATGGTCTTGAAATCCTAAGTTTATCTCTAACAGGCAGATTCAGTAGGGCAGACTGTCTACAGGGCCAAATAATGACATTATCTGCCTATTATGAGAGGGTTTTGAGAAATTTAGTCAGAGAAATTTGTCTCTAGTATTTGTCACAATTTCATGTAATACGAGGCTGTCTTCAAAATGTTCATAGGAAAATGGAATTAAAGGATAAAAATATGAACTTTATTTCACAACATAATCACCATCAATTTCAAGCACTTTTCTAAGTGATGATACTAGCCATGTAGTCCTTCCCTAAAGAACTGAAGGTCCTGGGAATTAAAACACTTCAACACTGTCCTTTTTACATTAATTGACTGAAAAAAAAAAAAAAAGTTACCTTTAAAGATTGTTGTTTTAAAATTAAGAAACAAAAAGAAGTCAGAAAGAGCCAAATCAGGACTGTAAGGTGGGTGCCTCGTGATTTTCCAATGAAAACTCCTGAAATTCACTTTTTGGATGAGAGGAATGAGCAGGAGCATTGGGGTGAAAAACTGTGGTGAAGCTTTTCAGAGAATTTTTCTGATAAAGCTTTGACTAAATTTCTCAAAACGTTCGCCTGATAGGCAGATAATATCATTATTTGGCCCTGTAGAAAGTCAACTAGCAAAATTCTTGAGCATCCCAAAAACCTATGGCTGTGCCCATTGTTCTTGGCTGGTCTGCTTTGATGGGACCACTTCTTGGTAGACATTGCTTTGATTGTGCTTTGTCTTCAGGCTCAAGCTGGCAAGGTCATATTTCATCTCCTGTTAACAATTCTTTGAAGAAATGCTTCAGAATATTGAACCCACTTGTTTAAAATTTCCATTGACAGCTCTACTCTTGTCTGCAACTGATCTGGGCACAACATTTTTGCCACCAGTGGAGCAGAAAGTTTGCTTAACTTTCATGTTCTAGACAGAATTGTGTAAATTGAACCAATTGAAATGACTATGATGTGGCTATTGCTCCTGTTGTTAATCTTTGGTCCTTTTAAATTAGGACACTGACAGGATTGTTTCCTTGCAAACATGGATGGTTGAGAAGCTGTGGGATCTTCAGCATGTTCCTTCTTAAAATGGTGATTCATTTGTAAATTGCTCATTTCTTTGGAACATTGCCCCCATATAAACTTTTTGTAAAGCACCAGTGATTTCACCAATTTTCTACCCAAGCCTCACTATATAATATGATAATTATTCTTACTTCAATTTTAGCAGAATTCATGTTTTTCTCTTGGGGGCTCTTTTCAAGCTCATGTCGTACCCTTCTTAGTGCCTCAAAATAGGCCCTGTTCAGACATGTTTAATAAGGTAGTATGAGTTTAGTTTGGTGCAAAAAAAAAAAAAAAAGAGAGAGAGAGCGAGATAAATGCATGTATTTGTTTTCATAATATGCATTTTTCATGAACTTTTGACGACCCTTCATGTATTATTGAATGGAATTATTTATTTAATTAAAATGAATGAATGATTTTGATCAAATGTATTTTACTTTAACCATAATACCTTTTTAGGGTAGCAGGATAGATTTAGAAAGTGTTAATAGTCTGCAGAAAATTTAGATCATTGATTTAGTAAGTAGACATTGAAAATTTTTGAGCAGGAGAGTGACATGATGAAAATGGAATTTGAAGAAGATTGATCTGGTGACAGCCTTTTATTCTAGGTTTGTCTAACTCCCATGAGGCATAACTGAGGGCAGTGGGGGTGGGGAGAGCAAGAACAGTTTCCTGAGTTTTTTTTCTTTCATTTCCACATTTGTTGAAGTGGAATGTGCTTGCTGGTATGTTTCCAAAAATAAAACAATGCTGATTTATTTATTTTTTTCCCAAAGAAAGAAAATCCTTAGAGCCGACACCATTTTTTAAAATAATCATGTGTGAAACATTCATTATTAATTGTTTGAAAAGAATGATTTTGAGTTTAAAATTTTTGAAATCATTAGCATCTGAATATGTAGCCTATAATCTCTCAAAAGTCAGTGAAGGTTATCATTGTGGCACATTTTTAAATAATTGTTAATAGTGAGGAAAATGTTTCAGTACCTTTTTCCCAAGCTCCTTTTACTTTATAGTTCAACACCTGCATTTTAATTATAGGTTTATTATTTTTTTCTTTCCTTTCCTGGGCATTCGTATTTAGTATGCAACTCATGTGATGGTGTTTCCTGGTTAAAGTTTATCTTCCATTTGTTGTGGGCTGTGTAGCTCCACTCTGATTTAATCTTCATATTGATCATTATAAACATCTTCATTTTATGGTCATTTTGTTTTTTATTTTAGGGTTATGACGCACTGATTCAAAAGAAGGACTTTTCCAAATACTTAATTTGCACTTTTGATTGTGTATTATGGATACCAAGGAAGAGAAAAAGGAACGGAAACAAAGTTATTTTGCTCGGTAAGCACTCAGTTTGCAAAATTCTGTCCATGCTTTAAAAATGAATGTTTGAAGGGACTTTGTTCTCAAGTATTACTTGGCATTTTGTTTTTAGTGACTGTTCTTAAGCAGATCTAAGGGACAACCAGTTAGTTGTCCCTTATCTGGAACTTATTTACATTAGAGGAATAACAATTGGTTCTTTTCTTCAATCTTTGACCTTTCTCTAGCCAGTGCTGCTGGAGTCTAGTTGTTACTGTGTACTGAACTGCTTAATGAATCCTACATCTAGTAACATGTTGTTAAGTGCCATTGAGTAATTCCAACTCTTAACAGTCCTGTGTAGGGTTTCTAAGGAGTAGCTGGTGGGTTTGAACTGCTAACCTTGTGATTCATATTAACTTTTCTGTCCAGTGCATTATCCTGCAGCACCACACCAGGACTTAGTAACATGTATTGGATTTTAAATCCTAAATGCTTAATAAGCTCCTCCTGCTGCTCTGTAGCTTGATTGAGCTACAACTAAAAATCTATGACACAGTATCTAAATGTGGAGCCTATTATTAAAAACTATTTTTGTAGCTAGATGAAATGAACACAGTTCTATCATTGGAGTCATGTAATTATAGAGGCTTGAATTCGGTCAACATGTATGCATTTGTTTCTACAGTTTCTAATCAATCGTTTGCGGGTAAAAGATGAGCCTTTCTATTCCTGCAAAGATTTACAGTTTCTGAAACCCTATACAGGGTCACTGTGGCTCAGTGGCTTTTAACAGAAACAACAGTAACATATATATTTGTTGGTATCTGAATAGAAGTTATCTAGTGTATGATTAGTAACTGTTTACAGCCACTCACTGATCATAATAAAATGAATGATATGTTCAACATTTATGAATCATTTTGATGGCTGGAATGTTTTCTAGTTCAAGAGTGAGAACATAGGTTTTATAATGATCATTATGACCTCTTAAATTTTGAAATAATTAAGAACTGAACTTAGCCTGACCCCCTCCCAAATCCCTAGTCTGTGCTCCTTAAAGGTACGTTTTTTGTTTTCCAAATGTAAGGTAAGCCTTGCAGATTAAACTCATATTTTTTTGTTGGTGTTTTCCAGAAATTTAGGTGAATTTTGTGGCTTTCATAGGAAACTAAAGGAAGTAAATCTTTAAAGACATACTGTGTGCCAAGTGCTGTATTTATTATTTTTCTTCACAATGAACCTGTGACATAGGTTGTTGGATCCCATTTAACAAAAGAATAACTTTGAAAAGTAACTATTATTTCCACTTCATATAGAGGATAAGGGTTACTATTCAGATATAGAGTTGTCCCCTAAAGGCATGTGCCAGTTAAAAAATAATAATTCATGAATAGAGTTTATAAAAAAGCAAGAGTTAAACTGCTTATTATAGTGAAATGTTTTCTGCTTTTAGGACTATAAAGAGTAGCAAGATTTGTTGGGGTAAGGAAGAAATCAGGCATCTAATAGGTGAGACAATAGAATGATAGGACAGAATAAGGAAATAGTGATTTAAAGCACCTTTTTTATTGTGAGGTAATTATAGATACATTTGTGCTTGTAAGAAATAATAAAGAGTGAACCTTATGCCCCTCACCTCCTTTTCCCCCAGTGGCCCCATTTTGCATAACTACTATACAATATCACAACTCAAAAACTAACACTGATACCACCAGTCTTACTCAGGTTTCACAAGGTTTATATGTGCTCATTTGTGTTTGTATTTAATTCTGTGCAAACTTATCACATCTATTTTATAGTCAAGATACAAAATTATTCAATACAAGGCTCCCATGTGCAACCCTTTTATAATCACACCCGTCTTCTTCCGTCTGCCTTTTACTCCTGACAACTGCTAATCTCTTCTCCATTTTTTAAATTTTGTCATTTCAAGAACATTATCTGTTGTTGTTGTTGTATGCCACTGAGTTGATTCTGACTCATAGTACCCTGTAGATAGAATGTTCTATAAATGGTGTCATATAGCATGCAATATTTTAGATTGACTTTTTTTTTAGCTTTTTATTATGAATTGGTTGAAGTTCACAAAGCAGATCATCATGTTTTGCATTCAATAATTCATACACATTTTGTTTCTTCCCACTGATTACAGTCCCCTCAGTGTAATATCACTTATCTTACTTCTTGCCTATGTTTCCTGTTTCCATTCCTCCTCCTTTCCTTTGTCCTTCTGAACTTTGCCCTGGGATAAATGCTGCCCTGCTACCCTTTTAATCTCGGTTGGTTGGTTGATTATTCTAAGGTATATGGTACCTCCCTAGTGTTATTGTGCCCCTTATAGATCTATTTATTGTTTAACCAAAATTGAGGGGGGATGAAGGGGTCTGGGAGGTGAATTCAGTTCCAGACCTAAAGGGTGACTAAGGGCTATAGTCTTCAGGGTTCATCAAAGTTATTGCAGGAATCACTAGCATGTTCCTTTATATGTGTTGTTGTGTGCCATCAAGCTAGTTCCAACTCACAGAGAGCCTGTATAGGGTTTCCAAGGTTTTAAATCTTTGCCAGAGCAGAAACCCTCATCTTTATCCTGGTGAAGCGGCTGATGGGCTCACACCACAGAACTTGTGGTTTGTAGTCCAGTGTTTATTGTATGGAGTTACCACACTCTCTCCTTTATACTGTTGAGTAAATATTTGATCGGGAACAATGTGGCCATGTACTGCAAACCACAAGATGGACATTTGAGGAAGCAGTACTTCCCCAGTTATATTTTGGGTGTTTTTCAATCTGAATGACTCATTATCCGGTACTATATTTGACAGTATTCTGGTGCTTTTCATCATGTTTCAATGATACTAACTGGTCTTCCTTGTTGTTGTTAAGTGCTGTGGAGCAGGTTCAGATTCATAGTGATTCATTTTCTAATTGGATTACTTGTTTTTGTTTTGTTTTGTTTTTACATTTGTGTTTTATGAGCTCTCTAAATAGGAGGCATTTTTCTATGAACTTTTTGAAGCCTTCTCATATACCAGATACCTGGTGTGGCACTTTGGGTAATGCGCCAGACTGCAAAGCCATATGAACTGCAAGGTTGGCGGTTCAAGCTCGCCAGCTGGTCCTTGGAAACCCTATACAGGGTCGTTATGGGTTGGAATCGACTCGACAGCACTCAACAACAACAACAACAACAACAATCCTTGATTGGGTATGGAGTTTGCAGTTTATTTCTCCCAGTCTGTGACTTGTCTTGTTGTTGTCTTACATGGTCTTTTGTAGAGTAAAAGTTTTAAATTTTGATGCAATACAATGTATTAAATTTATCTTTATGTATTGTGCTTTTGGTATTTGTTGTAAAAAAAATATACCAAAAATTTTTTTGGCATTTTTTACAACAAAATTTGTTGTAAAAAAAACCCAATTCTTGGTCTAACCATAGGTTATAATGATAAGTTTGAAGATTTTCTTTTGTTTTTTTCTGAAAGTTTTTATAATAGTACATGTTCTATTTAAGTCTGTGTCTAAGTCAGTATTCTTTCATCATACTTATTCAATATGTATGATTAGTAAATAATCTGAGAAGCTAGATTATATGAAGAAGACTTTGTGGCATCAGAATTGGAGGAAGACTCTTAAATAACCTGTGATGTACAGATGATACAATCTTGCTTGCTGAAAGTGAAGAGGACTTAAAATATTTACTGATGAAGATCAAAGACCACAGTCTTTGGTATGTGTTCCACCTCAGTGTAAAGGAAACAAATTACCTTACTACTGGACAAATGAACAAGATCCATATAAATGGAGAAAAGACTGAAGTTGTCAAAGACTTCATTTTGTTTGGATCCACCATAAACACTCATGGAAGCAACAGTCAAGAAATCAAACGATGTATTGCATTAGGTAAATCTGCTGTACAGGCCTCTTTAAAATGCTCAAGAGCAAAGATGTCAGTTTGAGAACTAAAGTGCGCCTGACCCAAGCCCTGGTATTTTCAGTAGCCTTATATGCATGTGACAGTTGGATTGTCAATAAAGAAGACTGTAGAAGAATCAGTACATTTGAATTATAGTGTTGGAGAAGAATATTAAAGATACCATGGACTGCCAAAAGAACAAACCAGTCTGTGTTGGAAGAAGTACAACCAGAATGCTCCTTAGAAGTCAAGATGACCAGACTTTATCTCTCATACTTTGGATATATTATCAGGAGGGACTAGTCCCTGGAGAAGGATATCATGCTTGGTAAAGTAGAGGGGTCAGCAAAAGAAGAGGGAGCTTTCCAACAAGATGGATTGGCACAGTGGCAACAGCAATGGGCACAAGCATAGTAACAAGAGGATGGTACGGGCAGGTTGTGTTTCCTTCTGTCGTACATAGGGTCGCTATGGGTCAGAAAAAACTTGATGGCACCTAACCACAACATTTAAGTCTGTGATTCATTTTGAGTTAGTTTTTGCATGAGTTGTAAGATGTGTTTTTTTGTTTTGATTTTGTCTGTGGATTTTCTTATTAGTTATTTAAACAGTATAGTGTCTTTTCAGTCTGAATCCAAAGTGATTGAAGTAATCATTGGTGGCTCGTGAACAACTTGCTCAAAATCAACTTCTTGTTCCTCAGAAGTAGACTAAGAGGAACCCCTTAAATATGGATATAGATTTTGCTTTCCCAACTCAAAAATAAAGAACAAAGTTCCTTGGATCAACTGTGATCGTTGTTATGCATTGTGAAAACAGAATACGAGTGAATACAAGCCAGACTGTTCTGGAAGAACAGCTTTGTTCAACTCAGAAATGTGAAATTAAATTGTCATGCTTGCCTTGATTCCTTCTGGAATGTAGTCTTACAATGAAAAGGAAAACATAATTAAAAATACTAAAGTGTGACCATAAGAGCGCATGGATAGCAAAACAGGAGAAAACTCGATTTTACTATTAAATTTTAGTATTAAAATGTAAGTCAGAGTGGTCAGTTACTAGGAAGTAATAGAGAGAGAACAGACAGATTCATCGTTCAGCCAGAAGTGGTCATACCATTAAA